CTTGGATTACAATAAAATTATTTTTGTCTTATGGTGTCAGAATACAAACCTTCACTTAGAAAATATATGTTACACCAATGATGCTCGATTTAAATTTAAAAACTGTGTATACTTGGGCATTTTTCGGGTTTTATAAAAATGTCATTTATTTAAGTTTTGAAACTTTTTACTTTTAATGTGACTAGAAAATGAATCGTATCCATATTTAACTTGCTATTAAAACCAAATATGAAGATTTTATTTTTAATAATGGCGAATGAGAGCGAAAAATTATATAGAATAGAAATTTAGACTAGAAATAAATAGAATTTGAATGAAGAAGATATGATCAAAATTGATTTCATTTTAATAAGATAATGAAAATAAACGCAATTAAAATAGAATTAAGAATTTTATGATTTGATTTTATTTGAAAGTAATATTAATTTATAATGCTATATACATAATACTTATATACATAAATACTATAATTATAATAGTATTTATGTGTGTAATGATGGGTAATATGTTTACACACGCGCGCGCGCACGCACGCATACATGCCTATACATCTACATATGCATAAACATATACATAGGCAAAATTATTTTTTATGCTTTATAATATATTAATAGCTACTATTATGATATTTTAAAGTTTTGATAATACAAAAAGGATATTGTTATAAACTGAATTACTTGTTATGAGCATTTTAAAGTATTGATAAATTATCAAAAGTCTTGAAACTATGTAACTATAAATAAATAACAAGTCTAAATTTAAACAGGAATTAAATGCAATTTTTGTTCTTTTCATGAAAAATTTTATTAATATTTTATACAGATTTTATAATAATCCTTTTGTAAAATCCTTATTGAAATTAGACTTTATATTAAATGTTTCTTTATTCTAAAATATTGAATATTAATATTGTAAGAACTTATTGAAAATAACAATATGATAATAATGGTTAGTTATGCTTATAATTATTTGTGCAAAAAATATGATTTTCATACTAATTCATAATAATATTTATTCATTAAAAACTAAATCATTTCATTTATTAATAATTATTTATGCCCTACGTTAATATTAATAATAAAATTATTATTATAAATTTAAAAAATTAAACAACAAAATTACACATAGATTTTTATCTTTATAGATTTAACTTATTTTTAAACATATTTCAACGTGTACAAAATTTTAAAGGAATTAATATATGAAAATGAAAACAATTTTTATCAGTTTATGAATGCGTACATTAGTCTAAATTATAAGAAAGCCAATATCAGAATAAGATTATGCACACATTTATGTATTGTTTTTATCCGCTTCTCATAAGATAATCTTTTGTATCTAATTAGAAGAATGTTTCTGCCATTATTCTTATAGTAAGTAAATAAGCAAAATAGTAGGTAAAATGATTCTATTATGTTTGTAAAATACGTAGCGTTTGAAAATTAATTATTGAATATATGGGTATTTTCTATTATTTTACATGAATTTCATAGATGAGTCCTTATTCTTAAATTAAAATTAAACAGTTCTTTATCCTTACAATTCTTTTCCCTCCTTCTCTACACAATTTCAATATATATTTATTCTATCTTAATTTATCTTTTAACATAGTAGCAAGGTTAAAGCGTATGTTTGTGTTGACATAATCGCACTGATTTTTCACTATAAATTAGAATACTTTGTATATGTTTCAATTAGTCACACTAATATCATATAAGATTTATAGAAAGAGTAGAATACTACAGTTGATTATATCGATGGTTGTATAGGTCGTTAAATGTCTTTATCGCATCCGTAGAAAATTTTCTTTCACTTGTAAAATTATAGATTTGATTAAAATACCTAAAACTAATTATATAACATTGCTTTAATTTTCTTGATGTAATCAGAATATTGTTAAAATTGGAGATTTTTTTTAATGCTTCGTTCATTAGAAATATTGTATATATATATATATATATATATATATATATATATGTAGTTGGTAAAATCATTTATATAATCATCATATTATTTTTAGATTATTGTGTCATTTCTGATTTACGTCATAATATTTATTAAAATGTCTAGGTTAAATTTATCATATTGATTAAACATTTTATTCAAATATGCTCCTGTGAGATGTCGCTTATTAGTAGTGTTTCAGTTATTAATGGCTTTAATGGCATTTATTATATATTTTTTTAGATTTTACTAGTATTGGTACAAATTATTTTACAGTTGATAATCATCAATGGAATGATTATTGCACCTTTAGATTTGAAGTAATTGATTACGTTATAGAAAAATTGTTCAATGGATAATTTATAAATATGTGATTCATTTTTTTTCTATAATATTTATTTTCAGAGTTTTATAATTCTTGCATGAGCTACTTTTCATGCTATTTATCAAATGTTTGTTATATTTTCATTTTTCGCACTTATTTTGATCTAAACATAAACATATTTATTTAATTTCCACGAAATGAAGCTCTTCTTTTTTCTAGTTTAATAGTACATTTAATAATTTACTACTCGTGTTATTTTTATTCTTCAGAGTTTATATTTTTTTTATCTATCGTTTTAAAAATATAATTCAATGATTTAATATATTTATAATAATTAGAGATTTCAGTTAATTCGTTTCAAATTTGATGTAATACTGAATTCATTAAGCTGTTCCTATTGATAAGGTTGATTATATATTCATGTTTGTGTAAATAATTATAGATCATGTTATATTTAATAATTTTAAGTAAATTACTTTTATATATGTTTAGTACGCTATTTTTTCAATAATCAAGCTCACATTTAAAAAAAAATTATTTAAACAGAATTCAAATTTTATTCAGTGGATGGATAGTGATATTATCATTTAATTTCTTTTTAAAGTGTTTATTTATGTTATTGAAAATATTATGTTTTGTATTGAGAACAGTAATTGATATAATTAGTTTTGTCGTCTTTGAATTAGAATATTGAATAGGATTTTCCAAATTTAAAGATAAAATTTTGTCTTTTTTTTTATTTTCATTGCTGAGCATTGAAAAAAAAAACCGAATTCTAAAATTATATTAATTGTTAATTTTTTTAGTTTAGTAAATCTTTACTATTATTACAATCACTTTTGGTTGTATCGCATTTAATTTGTGTTATCCGATATTATTATAGTTTTTAAAATCAATTATATATATTTTATTGTATAATTTATCAGTAAAAGTACCACATTAGGGCTTTTTTCCTATTATGTATAATACATTGAATATGATTTTATTTCGACATTTCAAATGCACAAAAAGTGAGTTTCGCTTATAATATTATAAATTTCTTCATTTTCTTCATTCCATATGACTTCTAATAGTAGTAGTTTCTTTATTTTTTTCTCTCTTCAATCGTTTTAACATTTTATCATGATATTCGTTTTATTCATAACTCTTTATTCATTATTAATTTGTTCTATTCTAATAAAGATGATTATGAAGAGTACACATTAAAATTTTCACTATTTTATCCAACTTTATCTAATTAAAAAAATAATTTTTTATTGCTCTTTAGTGTTTAAAATTATTGTTAATCTTTCATATAGTTGCTTTAAATTTGTTACTTTTTATAATTGTTATTTTGTGTTTTTTCATTTATCTAATAAATATATACTATCATTATATGCATTAAATTAATTCAATAATTGAATTTGTGTTTTTACCAACGAAACATAATTTTATTTGTTATAGTTGCTCAGTACTTGACACTGTTTACAATATCTTAATGGAATATTTGTCATAAAGAAACTTTCGGCTTAAGTGAAAAGTATTCTATTGAATATACTACAAAATTTGAAACAAATATTTTATATTTTTTTACTTTTAAATATTAATCTAATATATTAAATATGTAACATCCAAAAATTTGTTTATTCTTAAAAACTATCAAGTTAATTAAAAACAAACAAAAGATTCATATTTATTAAAATTTTAACAATAACCACACTGCAAAATCGAATAAAATGGCAAAAAGTCAACGTTACGCGGGGTTCCCAAGCGGTCACCCATCCAAGTACTAACCGCGCCCAATGCTGCTTAACTTTGGTGATCGGACGAGAACCAGTGCTTTACAGCATGGTATGAACGTTAACGATCACAATATCACATTCCCATCTACTCGAACTACCACCTCACCCATACCTATCACATCAAAACTACCCACAACCACACCAAACGGTGGCTGGTAATTGGAACAAAATGCGGAGCAACCAATACATGGGAATGCGATAGTGTTGCGTGGAAAAATTGAAAGTACTTTTCACCTTTTATCCTTATTCCTTAATAGTGTTAGTGTTAACGTTCATACCATGCTGTAAAGCACTGGTTCTCGTCCGATCACCAAAGTTAAGCAGCATTGGGCGCGGTTAGTACTTGGATGGGTGACCGCTTGGGAACCCCGCGTAACGTTGACTTTTTGCCAACTTTTTCTTATTCTTTATTCCCAATGATATTTATTTGTATATTTATTCTTTTTTATATTTGATTTTCGTCATTGAATTATCTCGTTTGTTAGTTTTAGTTGTTATTAATTTTACTTGTTCAAAATTACAAAAGTATATTTTTTTCAAAATTGACGTTTTAATATACATAAGAATAATTCAATATTATAAAATAATTTTCAAAAATAAATTTTATATCATATCTCAACCACATTGATTATACATAAACAATTTTGTTTATTTTGTACATTAAAAATGACCGTTTATTTATTAAATCCATTTTTCCAAAATAGAATGTATTCAATTTACATCATTGTAATATAAGAATTTAAACATTGTTTAATTAAAACGTAATTAATAGATGTCTTTTATAAAGGTGATTTTTAAGGTCTTACAACTAGTTAAATGTTTAAAATATTTGTTACAAAAAAAACTTTTTATTTAACACTCCCTCAAAAATTTTACTTAATTATGTATTATCAGATTGGAAATTTAGAAATATAAAAATTTATCGATGTTTTTATTATTTATTATTACAGATGTTCGATGATATTATTTTCGCATTTTTCTCGTTAGAAATGACGATAAAAATGGTGGCAATGGGTATATACGGAAAAGGAACCTACCTCGCCGATTCCTGGAATAGATTAGATTTCTTTATAGTTCTTGCAGGGTAAGTGTTTTAAACATTTTGCAAAATTGCATCACACACACACACACACGCGCGCGCGCGCGCGCACACACACACACACACACACACACACACACACTGTTGCTTTGCAATTCGTCCATATGTATAGAATAAATAAATGATCCAAGATAAAAAGAACTCCTTATTAAAACATTAGAATACGTTAAACACATATATAAATGATGCGATAAATTGGTGTATTTAGTTTTATTTCTATGAAAAATAATATTTACTAAATCGCATCAGATTCCTGATTAATAGAACAGCTATTATTTTATATTGAAAATATTACGAAAAATTGATATTTTCAAGAGTACGAAAGTGGTTAGTATACAAATTTTTTTAGATCCAAGATAATAAGTGTCTGAAAGCTATTTTGTTTCTATAAATAGCTTATCAAATAAAAACAGACGAACAATGCTTTTTTGTCTTTTAAGTTTTTGTCTTCACAATCAATAGATAGGAAATTATAATTCGAAATATTATAAAAAAATAATGATAAAAATAATTATTTTCGAGTGTATTTTAATATTTGTCTTGTTCTTCATTCAGAACAATTTATTTAATTATTCATTAAATTATATAAATAATGATGGTTGAAATTATTTTCATTAATAATCTATTATTATTAATAAAATTAACTAATTTATTTAATTGTAGCGTTATGTATCGCAGTTCTTAATCAATATTTAAAAAATTAATCTTAACTTTCAATCTTTACAGCTTTTCAATTAAATTAAGTATAAAGAAAAAATAGTAATAAAGTAGTATTAGAAATAATTAAGAAAAAAAATACTATATTGCACTTATTAATACAAATTTTATTACTTCGAACAGTAATGAATTAATGTGTACATTTGAAATATTTTAATAATTATTGTTTCTACATTAAATTGTAAGTATAAATATGGTTTCTAAGCATTTATTATAAAAATTGTATTTAGTATATGAATAAGTTATTATGGAAACAATGTAAAAGAATTTAAATGAACAATTATATTTTATGAATGAATAGCAATAGTTTTGAAAATATATATTTTCTTTTTAAAATAAATTAATGACATTTTACATGAAATGTATAAAGCAGGTTATTTACATATGTGTTTTATCTTGTTCATAAATATTATGTTATTGTATAGATTTCATGATAAAATGTTGAATCATTTTCAATTTTAACATTATTCTTCATTTAAGAAGATACTAACGAAACATATATATGGTAAATTGACGTTTTGAAATGTAAAATTCTAATTAGTTACACGGATCAATAAGTCATGGATGAATTAACATAATCAAATGAATTTTACTAATACACGTACTCAATTCCTTTCATACTTTTCACAACACTGATGTGCCTTATTGTTAAGTTAACAATGTATTTAACCTAATGTGATAAATATGCTATTTATGTGTGTAATGTAAATTACATGCAGTTGTAAATAAATGCAGTTAAATCCTGATTGTCAATCGTCTATTTCTATATTAATAGTTATGATTTCTCTACTATTGGACAGTTATGGAAATTGATTGTTAATTTGTCAAAAATTAAACTCGTAAATACTGTCATAACTTTACATTTGAGTTGAAGTGCATTGAAATATAATTCTATTAGGAAATTGCAAAATCTTATATTATTCAAGTGATGAACGAATGACAAATAAAATCTATTTGATTATAGTCACTTGAATCGTGAATTATTCAAAGCAGATAAGGAGATCCCTTATTTAATTCCTCGATTAATCGAAAAATTTCGCCTGAAGGAAAGTAGGGCAGACACTTATTTATTTGAAATTGCTCTCTATGAATGAACGTATATTCGGTTATTCATAGAGGCAAGTAAAGAGAAGATTAAAGAAAACATTAACGATAAATGCATGTATAACGAGTTAGTTTTCGACTAAAGGATTTACTTACGCATGCTGCAGAATTTGAGAATCATGTGTTCTTGTTAATATCTATTAGCCGACAGGAGAAAGCTGTAAAAATAACCGCGGTACTTTGTACATTCTTTAACTAAATTCGAACGATCGCGTTGGTAAACGATATAAATGGCTGCTATTAGCGATCATATACCAAGTTGTTATATTAATAATATTCATTTTAAAAGTAATTAAATTTTTATTCGCTAATAATTGTTCACTTCATAATATTATTTCGCTTACTTTACTCCCTTGGACATTTGGCTTTAATTGTACTAAAACATAGCTCCTTTCATTATATTGGACTAATAAAGTATTTATTTTTTGACACAATGAGAAATGATGACAAATTGCAGAAAATGAGATGTAGGGAATTGATGTGGTAATAAATAAACATTTTTTGGACTCGAAACGTTGAAGGGCAACAGAAAAATCTTACCACACACTCGATTGATAGTTAGAACTATACATATTGATTTCTATTATCGTAGCAGAATTCCTTAATGAAGAGCTTTCACACACTCTTGGACGAAAGCTAAGTTCAGCCATCCACGTTAGAAATAACGGAGTTCGTATTCTTAGTAAACAGCCACATCCGTTCTTCCATCTATATTTCTCCGCTCTTCATTGACAATCATCGTAAACCATTTATTAAACCGGCCTAGACGGTATTTTCCAAAATGCTACGAGAGCCTACAGAATATACAAAGGGTCGTTCGCTTCATTCGATCTATTCATATGATCTTGCGATACACGTTGCTTACATCTGTTTCACTCCTTAACTAGATTTCCTCTACCGAAATAATAACTGTTACCATCAAACAAATACGTTCGCTCAGTCCTGTATCTCTTATACCTTTTAGCTGAAAAATATTAGAGTAGGCTAATATCCTCTGTCATATTTCTTATGCCAGCTATTTCCGTTGGTTGATTTCTAATAATCACTATTAAATTAATATATAACATTATAAACAATTTAATTCATTATTCGTCCGGATTGTATCGTTTTCGAATAATAAAAATACCTACGACAAGTAGCATTCTAGATCCTGATCATTTTCAAGAAATTGGTCGAGCATTTAAATATTTATTACCGAACTTGGTAAAAGTATATTATGAATCATTTTTCACCATCATAATTAAATTTCTCAAAGAAACAATTAATGTAAGCAGTTAATAAATTACCAATAAACGAAAATTTTGTACTTTTCTTTTCTTTCCTTTTTTTTACTTGTCCTTTTGCTACTTTAATTACCCGTTGAAACGAATTATGTCTAATTATTACTATTTACACTCTTATTATATTTTCCAGGGCGTTGGAGTATTGCTTAAATGTGGAGAATATGAATTTATCGGCGATACGTACGATAAGGGTATTGAGGCCGCTGCGGGCAATAAACAGGATACCAAGTGAGTCGAATACTTCATTTAACGAATTAATACATAATTCTCATTCTGTTTCACTTGCCTATATCTTATTAGTACAAAGTTTTTAACGCATTGAACAGAAAAAAATATTTGGATTCTTAATTGAATACAAAATCATATTATAGTAAAAATATATTATCGTGCATTTAATAGGAAAATGTATATTAAGATTTCATTACGGATTATAACGTATGAATTTATATATTTACTATCATAATTTCAAAATCGATAATTCATTTTTATAATATAATGTAATTTCATATTGTTCATTTAATTGTTCATTTAAGCTGTCTATAATTTATATGCTGAAGGACAGAACATAATGAATTTATAAAGGAATTTCTGTTTATTATAACTGTAACAAT